TGTGAGCCACCGCGCCTGGCCCAATTTTACTTTTTAACGTTTTTTAATTTTAAAATTGCACTCGTGGTTTGCATCCTATTTCTACTGGACAGGCGGCTCTTGATGGAGAAGCCAGGGAGGGATCACTGAGGGGCCCCCAGATTCTGTCCTGTCCAGGACTCCAAAGAGAGACTGAAGGGGTTGGTGTAAGGTGTTGCTGGTAAATTAAAGTTTATCACCACCAGGGGGCAGCACCTCTCCTCAAACGAGACCCGGGGCTGGCGAGTGGACTCAGTTCTGGGTTGCCTGGAATAAGAGGGAGGAGAGCGGCAGAAAGGCGGGACCTCACCTGTTCTCCGTGGAACAAAAGAACTGAACCCATGGGTTGGTGCTGCCACTTTCCGGAGCTGGGGGCAGGTACATGGCCTCGGAGAAGCATGTCAGCAGCAGTTTCAGCAGCTCCATCCTTGGAGGGGGGAAGGGGGGACCTTAGAATCCCAGTTCCCTCTTGGAGGTGCCGCCCACCCAGCCTAGCGCCCCAGTCCAGGTCCATGGAAGGAAGTGACCCCTGCTGACCCCTGTAAGGCCAAGGTCGGGTCACAGGTGAGGACGGTCTTCTGGGGAGAGCCCATGGGCTCTCTCTGAGCTATGTGGGGGCCCGGCCCGGGGCCCAGCTGCAAAGAGGGCTCTGGGCCTGGGCAAAGCTCACCGGTTCATATCGTGGATGTAGTTAGGCTGGGGGGAGTGAGCGAAGCCCACACCAGCCTCCCAGATGTATTCACAGCTGTCCAGGGAGTGGACGTCCTCCGCCGAGTCCTCGGGACAGGGCCAGGAAGAGGCCAGGTTAGGGGTCGAGAGGTGAACAGCAGCCTGGGTCAGAACCCTACCACCTAGAGCCTCGCACAGTCCCATGGGGCAGAGACCCCCCATTCTCTTAAAGACAGGTCCTCAAAATGGCCCGGTCCTCATGCACAAGGGCAGGAATGAATAGTCTTAGGCCTCTTGAAAGCTCGTTTTTCTTCCATCTCACACTGGTTCTTTCACTTGCTCAGTCCAGCATGGGACAGGGAGAGAGGGAGGGAGGGGCAGGGGATTGGGTGCCGCGGGTTTGGGGGTGGGCAGAGAACTCAAGGTGAAGTCCATGCCGCCACAGGAAGCAAGAGGGCCAGGCCTCCTGTGTCCGAGCCCTGCACCCCACCCACCCTGGGCAGGCAAAGACAATGGGTGTCTGTGCCCAGCCATCCGAATGCAGCAGGCAGGGCCAGCCCCAGCTGGCTTCCCTCCAGCTGTACCAGTCACCACCCAGGCCTACACGTGCCAGGCAGCTCAGCTCTCCTGGAGCCCCCTGGCCCCCAGTGCAATCTGCCCAAGGGAACTTCAACTGGCCCGGCCCCAACCCAGGACCGGAGCCTGCTCTGCCTGGGGGTGGGCGGCTGGGGGACCCTCACCACAGTGCTCCTCCGGTGGCTCTGGACTGTGAAGTCCGGGCAGAAGAGCAGGTCAGCAATGGCCAGGAGCAGGGACTCGGCCAGGGGCCTGGCATTCTCATCATCCTCTTCTCCCTGCTGGGGACACAGCACCCACAGGCCGCCTCAGTGATAGCTGGCCAGGGAGAGGTGGCCCAGGGCTTACGGGGTGGTGGAGGACAGGGGCTGAGCCCAGGCAGGCACCCATGGGCAGAGGAATGAAAGGACAGGAAGTGGACTCCTGGTTGCCCCAAACCTCCCAAGGTAGAAGTGGGGCAGAGCAGGGAGCCTGGCCGGGAACAGCAAGGGAAACTCCCCTACCGACTGGTGGGGACTGGGCAGCGACCCCCAACATCAAGAGTCTCAGCCCTGCTAGGAATCGCTGTGTTGCATCCCTCGGCACCTCACCCAGAGATAAACCCAGGGCAGGTGGTGTGGGGGAGAGAGGACAGTACGGTCCCTCTCCGGCCCTCAGAGGGCCCAGTTCCTCTGCCCCCACCTCTGCCCGGTGACCCTTGGCTCTCAGCTTCTCTCCACACCCTACTTCTTCCGGACTGTGGACACAGAAACCCCCATGGGAGGGGAACTGAGGGCCCAAGGAGGTGGTGTGAACACCATCCCTCAGCAGTACCCACTGGCCCCACCCCCGCACTTCCCAAATCCCAGAAGAGGCTTGGAGGAGCATGGCCGGCCCTGAAGGGCGCTCTCCCTGTGACGCCAACTCTGCCTCCCACCCAGCCCTGGCCAGGCCCACAGACCCCTCCTCGCCCTGCCCCGGGCACTGTGGACCAGAAGAAGCCCCTCCAGTCGGGATCCTCAAAGATGTAGGGCAGCACGCGGGTGAGCAGCCGGCTGCAGTTCAGGACAATCTGCTTCTCCTTCTCCGAGTGGCAGCCACTCTCAGCTCCCTGTACCAGCTTCTCAACGGCCTGTGGGGGCAGGCAGGAGCAGAGGGCAGGCTGGAAGGTGGGGAGAGGACCCTGGCACTTGGGGTCAGGTGGGCATCCAGGCTGCAGAGGAGAGACAGTGGGGCCACAGGCGGAGGAGCCACCTGGAGTCGGGGTCAGCCAGCCTGGGGGGATGGGGACACAGGCCAGAGCAGCTTGAAGCATCAGGACAGTCAGGGCCCAGGTCGTCACCGGATGGCTGAGGCCTTGCTAAGTGAGTCTCCCAGCCTCAGTTTCCCTATCTGTAAACTGGCGACACTAGCAGTACCCACCCCACAGGGGGAGCTGAATGAACCGATCTATAGAAGGTGCTCACTTAGATGTGGCCCGGAGGATTCCCCCATAAATGGCGGCTGCCATGGTCCCTCCGCCCAGCGAGGAGACCCACAGAGAGAGAAGTGGGAGAGCTGGGTGAAGCCACAGGGCTGCCCGGACCTGGGGGTCGGGAGGTCCTGGATATGCCTGCCTTCTCCTGCTGTGGGTTGGGAGGGTGGAAGAGTGGCAGCGAGGGACTGGGCAGCCCTCACCTTGTAGCACAGGGTGGCCAAGTTGGAGGGTGACTCTTCCCGCACGGCCCGGATCTCTGCTGCTGGCACCAGTGCAAACACATCCTGCACCGAGGTGGCTGTGTCTGCCCAGAACTGGTCCCAAAAGGCATCATCGGTGGCTTCCACAGGCTGTCGGGGGACCAAGGGTCCAGAGTTACACAACTCCTGGCCAGACGGCCCACAGTTTGCCCAACCTGTGACCAGGAGAGACCCCGAGAGGGAAGCCAGAGTCCCCCTACCAGCTGGGGTCCCAGAGCCTTCCCACATGGGTGGGGGACATCCTTCAGCCACCACAACCCCTGGATAGCACAGTCAGGCTGGAGACACTGGGCGTGCATGGTCGGGGTCAGCTAGGCACAGTCAGCCAAAGCCCAGCACCACCCCTGAGGGGCTGTGTGACCCTGGTTAAGTCACCATCCTCCCCTGACAAGGCAGGCTGACCTCGCACCTCGGCACAGCCCCAGGCCACACCATTAGGTCAAATGCCCGGGGATCCAGGTCAAGACTGTGCTCTCTCTCCATGGGAAGAAGACCAAAGGCAACTTGTACTCCGTTCCCAGTCACCCAGGCTGCCCGCCACAGGCCTCCAGTCTCTACCCTCTCGCAGCACACCCAAAATAGCTGCCACATCTGGTGAATTCACCTCTGCGGCTCTCGGACCCCAACTCGCCCCTCTCAGCGCCCACCTCCAGTGCTGCAGCTCAGGCTGCCCTCGCCAGGGCTCCCGCCTTCACATCCACCTCCTTCAATCCTGCCTCTACGTTGCTGCCCACCCATGCACCAAGGTGGCATCCTGCATGTACCGCTGCCACAGGCACTGCTTCCTCACCCAGAGCCCTTCAAGGGCTCCCCACTGCCTGCTGGGACAAGTCCAAATCTCAGACCAGCACTCAACCAAGATCTCACAGAAACATGCCTTACCCACATGCACACAGACACACATGCATACACATGTGTATGTTATACACACACACACCTGCATTTACTACCCCAGGACTCCACCCTGCCATCTCTTCTCTTTACCTTCACCTGAGCTGTTCTCTCTTCTCCTCTTTCCCTTTTCCCCACAACAATGTATTCCAAAATCCATTCCCACAGAGGCAACAGGCCTTAAAAACACACATGCCCAGCCGGGCACAGTGGCTCATGTCTGTAATCCCAGCACTTTGGGAGGCCAAGGCAGGTGGACCCCCTGAGGTCAGGAGTTCGAGACCAGCCTGGCCAACATGGTGAAACCCTGTCTCTACTAAAAATACAAAAATTAGCCGGGTGTGGTGGCAGGCACCTATAATCTCTGCTACTCAGGAGGATGAGGCAGGAGAATTGTGTGAACCTAGGAGGCGAAGGTTGCAGTGGACCGAGATCGTGCCACTGTACTCCAGCCTGGGAGACACAGCAAAACTTCGTCTCAAAAAAAAAAAAAAAAAATATATATGCCCTTCGAGTCATCTAGGCAGTCATCTAGGCAATGAAGGTAACTAATTTGAATCATAAATTTCACTTCTAGAAATCTCTCCAAAAGAAATCATTAGAGATGTGCACGTGGGAGCATGTATATTTTTGATAGCAGTGCAAAGTTGGAATCAACCTAAATAAACAACAATTGGAGAAGGCTTAAAAAATGAAGGCAAAGCCATACAAGTGAATATTATGCAGCCATCAGAATCATGTTTTCCAAGAATATTAACAAATGGAAAATGATTACACTGTTATGTGGAGAAAAAAAAAAAAAGACAAGATGGCCAGGCACAGTGGCTCACGCCTATAATCCCAGCACTTTGGGAGAATGAGGTGGGTGGATCACCTGAGGTCAGGAGTTTGAGACCAGCCTGGCCAACATGGTGAAACCCTGTCTCTACTAAAAATACAAAAAATTAGCCAGGCG